CAAAGATCCCTCTTGAAAGCAGTGAATTCAAAAATCCTGCTCAGAACCCCCACTTATGATCCAATAAAACAAATTTATCAACAAAAGAAATGAAGGTAAAATGGAATAAACCAGACTATATTTAATAATATAGTTCAAGAATAATCTTATGAATCCCAAAACACTCCTTCCTAAATTTAAAAAACAGCTTTTATGTAGTACCCAAAAGCAGCACTCATACAGTGTGCATGTCAGAGTCCTTCTCTTCAACACCTTGATAGGTTGAAGTCACATCTAATCTATACAGCCATCCTCATCCAAATACTTTACAAATGTGCCAAAAACAAAGTAAAATATTGGGGATGGCATGGGTTAGAATGAAGTACTGAGTTTTGGTTAGCTGAATAAGTAACAATCATTTATTTAAGCTTCATTTTCCATTTATTCCTATTCAAAAAAGTAGTCGGGTTAAAAAGCGTTAAAACACACACGTTCAAAATTCTGAAGAATGTTCACTGGACTCAATGTTAACTTTATTTCTCCACAGACGCTGCCAGACCTGCTAAGTTTCTCCAGCAAGTAGTTGTTATTTCAGATCTCCAGTTCTTTGTTTTTATTTAAGACCCTTTATTAGAAGGGATAAAGAACTAGTTATACAACAGGAGACAGAATAAGAATAAACAGGTCTTTTTCAGATTGATAGGCTGTTCCTATTCAACTGTTGCAAGGATTCAAGTTGGGTCCTTGGCCGTTTAGAGTCTGCTGCTGACTCAAATGATGGAACAAAGTGCTGTGTGTCAAACAGTTTTTGACAATATGGAGCCATGTTGGAAAGTAAACTGAGAAGGACAAAAGATTTACAAAGAAACACATTGCTGAGTGGGTGGATAAAATAAATGACATTTGAAGTATAATCTGGAAAAACTAATTTCTTATTAAATGATCAACTTTGTGCCCTTGTACTTGAAATAAAGTCAATGTCCTGGTACAATAAGCAATTGGGAGGGCAAATAGCACATTAGCCTTGATCATAAGGGATTAATGTAAAATTATTGCTGAACAAGATGATGTTGGAAGAATTGAACTAAGCGAGCAATGAACAGAAGGTGGTGAATGAACAACTTTTAAATTTTAGGTCTTTTTTAAACTGTTAATTGCTTCTCACTTTTCATCTTTTACCTTGATTTGTATTTATTCAGTACTGGCATATCATTTACTGAGAGAACTAAATTATAAAAGTTCACTGCCATAGGAAATAATACACACGTTCTGAGAACAGAGGATTTAGCCAGTAATAAAAGTAACTACTTTAACTGAGAATACTTCTGGCAGTGATATTATCGTCAGTTTGTATTTGAAATGCCAATCTATTGTGGCCTGGATCATCATCCTCGGTATCACAGTTAACCCAGAACAAACAAAATGTTCCTCACTTACCAGGAATTTTCCAGCTGGACATCTGATGCAGGATCCATCACAACAGCTGCAATCTAGCAAACCACGGAGGCAGCATTACAGTGAATCAGCACAGAAAACACGTCACCACTTTTTTTAGCTTCCATAAATGATAGATTTCATATTCCAGTAAGCAAAACGTTTAAAAGGTCCCACTTCGTGACATTACTGAGAGAATGTAAATGGGCAAGGTGCCAAGTGAGAGCTTAGGGTGGCAGGTAAGTGGGTAATCATATCAGGTTAGGAGTTCGGTTGGTGGTGGTTAGAAAGGTGGGTGTCAGTTTTATTGTAAACCATAAGTTATGGCAGATTTTAATTCTTCAAATGTTTCCTGGTTAACTATAATCATGGTAAACAAGTCAGAAACCACCACAGTCTGGACTTTGTCAGAGGGTTCCAGACACCAGCAAATTGCACACCAAAAGTTTAAACATGCCAGCCAATTAATGTGCAGTCAGCTTCCAAGAGGTCCTGATGCACACATTTCACGGTACATCTAGTCTATGAAAATCTGGAGATGAGAAGATTTGGGCCAATGTCTTTTAATTTCCTACATTCCAAAAAATTAGATGAGAGTTATGTTATAAATTCACGACAAACATTTTTTATTAAATAGAAGTAAACACTAAAAAAAACAAACTTTATAAACAACAATTTTTTTAAATACAATGTATTCTACATACATGATACTTTTTACAACACAATTATTTACATGCAACTCCAACAAGAATTTGGCACACAATTTTTTGCCAAGAAAAAAACCTACAAAATGTTTTTTCAATATCAGAAATGTTTTCATAAAAACACAATGTGTTACTACCATGCAAATTTTAAGAGCTTCACAAAGGATTTATGGCACAAGATGGGAGCTCCAGGCTCCAGTGTATTAGATTTTAAAAATTTCACTAGCGTTGACCTTTCATGTAAATTTTAACGTGCTTCCATAGATTTGCTGCATCACAACTTGAACATTGTCAAGAATGAAATCAAAAGCCATGTTCCACAGGGAGTCTGCTGACTGCTGGATTAGCCTGTCAGGAAATAGCAAATACATCACTCTCAGAATGTTGTTTTGAAAAACTAAGCATAAATATTACTCTTTGTGGTAAACAGCAACTGAATACCATATATACTATATATTACACATTGCAGCATAAAATAGACAACTGCTGAAGCTGCAACAAATTAGGATGTAAAGTATTATGTAAAAAACTACCAACATCTTTTCTGTGTGCATATTAAGGCTAGCAAATTAAATGGTCAAAACAAAATAACACCCCACTGAAATTATTTGCTGAGTGAAAAATTAATAGTTCAGAGGTGGAGCTGAAGCCAAAATGTTGATTTCGCTAATGTTTAAGTGCTCCCTGACACACTAAATATCCTTAATACTGAAAAGAGGTGAATATTTGAACAAATTCAAGGTCAAAACCAGGTTAGTCTGAATTGATAACACAGTATGGAGCTGGAGGAACACAGCAGGCCAGGCAGCATCAGAGGAGCAGGAAAGCTGACGTTTTGGATTGTGACCCTTCTTCAGAAATGGGGGTGGGGGAAGGGAGCTCTGAAATAAGTACAGAGAGGAGGGGTGGGGCTGGGGAAGGTAGGTGGGATGGTGATAGGTGAGTGCAGGTAGGCAGCGGTGGGGATTGGTCAGTGAGATGGAAGGAGTGGATAGGTGGGAGAGAAGACGGACAGGTCAAGAAGGCAGAGATGAGAGGGAGGGTTGGTCATGGGATGAGGCCGGAGGTGGGGAGATTTTGAAACTGGTAAAGTCCACATTGAGACCATTGGGTTGTAGGCTCCCAAGGCGGAATATGAGGTGCTGCTCCTCCACTTTCCGGGTGGCATCATTGTGACACTGGAGGAGGCCCAGGATGGACATGTCACCCAGGGAGCGGGAAGGGGAGCTGAAATGGTTCGCGACTGGAAGGTGTTGTCGTTTGTCGGGTACAGAGCCCAGGTGCTCTACAATGCGGTCTCCGAGCCTCTGCTTGGTCTCACTGATGTAGCGGATGCAATAGACCACATTAGCAGATGTGCAGGTGAACATCTGTCTGATGTAGAAGGTTTTTTTGGGGCCTGGGATGGAGGTGAGGGGGTGGTGTAGGGGCAG